AAAGTTTCTGCTCGTTACATGCGTACAGTGTTTTTGAAAATCAACTTACAACATAGGTAAAACACTTCGTTTTTTAGTTTAATTCCTTCGGTTTAGCCAACAATAGCACATGGCAAAAAAAATCTAGTTTGGCTTAAAATAACTACAGTTCTTACTAACGTAATATCACGTCACATAACATATGTCCTTAGAGTAGCATGCTACACATACCTGCACACTACACTGTTATTAAAATAACACTGACTTTTGGTTTCACACAGGAGACAAACAGCGGGCTCCTAGATGAAAGTCCGGTGTTTGTTTGACCCCTTCACCATCCCTGCTGCCCACCCAATGCAACCTTTCTGGCTCTTTATAGCTTACTATGGTAGTTGCCCACCAGGCGGCAGCTGCCCGATGCACATCATCCTGCCACAAAGTTTGCCTCTGTGTGTCGATGTCTGACGATGAGGTTCACTGACAAAGCGGTATTATGTGACGGGTCGTGACTGGATGTCACTCAGTTTGTGGTGCTCAGAGCACCAAAAAGACATTTGGAACACTCAACAGCAATGTCTCTTTCCAGGAATCATGACCAAGTAACTCAAGATAATACAGACCTTGTTGTGAGCAGTTTCATGGAAGAACTATTTTCTTTCTGTCAAATCCACCATCTGTATCCCTGCACAGAAGGAAGCGTGTGCCTACTGCTAGCTCACCTAGCACCACAGAGCTAGCTAACAATACAACTAAGCCAAGAAGGATGAGCCTCTCATCCATGAGTAGATTGCACGCTTCCTTCTGCGCAGTGATTCAGTTGGCGTGTGTGCTTCAGTAGAAAGAAAATAGTTCCTACATGAAACTGCTCACAACAAGGTCTGTGGATTATCTTGAGTAACTATATCATGATTTCCGTAAAGAAACGCTGCTGTTGAGTTTTTCAAACATATTTTTTGGCACTTTGAGCACCACAAGCCGAGTGCTAGCTAGTTCCATTATATTGGAGAGAAGACAGACATCTCTACGGATGATAGTTCCCATCTCCTTCAGCTCCATCATCACTGTCCTTCACCAGGTGTTCTTTGGTAGTTTTGCATTTCTCTGATAACTTGTGCTGTCTTTGATGTTTCAAACATGGTACAAACATTCCATGGTCCAAGACGGATTTTAGTTTGGGGTCTTAGGAGACTCTTCTTCAAGCAACAGAATTCCCAGGGTGGGTTTTGCTCTGCTACCATCATCATACTGCCTGTGGTTTGGCTGGAGCTTCGTTTGGACCCCAGATTCAGTGGTTTGTATCTTGCAGTTTCTGTAACACTTGCTGTTTTCCGAGGTGAGGTTGTTGGCCCCATGCTCAACCCCCAACCTGGAGGACCAGTGCTGCTTTTTGTCCGGACTCTTCTCCATGACCTGCCTGGCTTGGTTAGACCTGCCAGGGGCCTTAAGCCCCCGCCGGTATAGCTCACAGCATATTTGAGACATGCAAGCCCCCCCACCACGTCAAGGTATCAGCCTGGGAGGGGAATAACACTACAGGTAAGAGGAAAAATATGTATTTCTGATTTTGGGGTGAACTGTGCCTTTAAGAAAGATAATGCCAATAGTCCTCAGTGTACCCACTTGGTTTCACAGTCACTCAAGGTCAAAATTAAAAGTTAAACTCTTTGACCCAGACTTCATCTGCGATGTTTTGACTCCAAGAGTTCAGCTAAACTCTTCCTGAGATGTTTCCAACGATTCATGGCCAGTGACAGGGACGATTCATTTCTTCTGTTTAGTTCAGGAATGTTTTGGGACATTTAGTACGTGCTTAACAATCATGTTTTATTTTCATATTATTGGGATAGTTTCATTGAACTGAACGTTGCTGGCACGGCAGTGAGATGTGAACAGGACTGGCGAGCGGAGCTGAGGCTTGAGGCGTACCAGATGTAAACAATGAAGAAACACAATCACCAGCAGACAATGAGGACCGGGCCAAAGCAGTCCCAATGGTTTTAGACGGGCATTGATGGCGTATGTGTTAATGTTAGAAGCATTGTTTCAGCTTTTCCCTCTCTTCTTCTCTTCTGAAATTCTTGTCAGTTGTTCTTGCTTTCTTTGTATCTTCCTGGACTTGTCTCCTTCCTCTTGAGCCTCCTGTTGCTCAACTTTCCATCTTTTTCTTGCATCACGTTTGCTTTTCCTTCTCTCTTTTTAGAAACTTCCACAAACAGTTGCACAACATTTCTGCGAGGAAAAAGCTCCTCTTTGCTCCAGCAGGTTTGATTGACAGCACCCCTTGCACACTCTGCAGTAAAAGTGCAAGTGTGTTTGTGTGTGTGAAGGGGGTGCATGCATCTTGGCATCACATTAGTCTTTTAGAAGTTTAATTGCAGCATTTGGTCTTTCTTCTCTGGGCCATCAGAGCATGTGTGTGCATTCATACAAACACGCACGTTTTCCTGTGTGTGTGTGTGTGTGTGTGTGTGTGTGTGTG